TTATTGCTTTGACACTTTGTGTTAAATAAGTTTGGGGGAGGCGTGTTGGCGGATGCTTCTGAGGTTAGGTTAAATTTAATGAGGGAGAAAAAGAAGACAATTCAATGTTGATGCTAGCCCATTGAGAGGTAAGGAAATGGCAACCATGAGCGGAGAGTCCTCAGGCCCGGTGAGAAAAAATAAATATATAGACTGCCCTAAGTTGCTGATCCACTATGTATAGGAGTGGACAAATGCTCTGGGTAGTGGCCTGAGTTGGAAAGAGTCATGAAGAAAAGCCGTATGGACCGAAGAATGGGTTACGAGGGAGAATAGGTTGTCTGTGAGATAAGTCCTTCTACTTCATAGTATGTTTGGCGGTCCATTGCATTGAAATATGGTATAAAATGTGAGTCGGTTGTGAAAGTAAAATGACATATTTGCAGTAGAGCTTTTGTTTTCTATGTTAAATGTAAAGTGATGTCCCTAAGAAACGAATCACACACACAAGAGTGGGGGCTAAAAGTAGCTATGGTTTGCATTTTGATAGGTAATGCATATTAGAGGTAGTCGGGGTCTGTGTGTTATATGATGATTGAATCTCTGAGGCCGCCGAATTAAATAACTAAACGTTTTGTTTGTTTTAATCTTTGGAAATGCTTGAGGACAAGCAAAATTTCAAGTTTGGGGGTATTTGATATTCTTATATTTTCCATATTTATTATATCCCTAATTTATAATTTTTGCAATATATTTTGAGTACAAATGTGCTATTTATGTGATTTTATATTTGATTGTAGGAATTGTAATCAAATGGAGGAATTGTTGGAATTTTGGGCTAAAATAAAGAAAAAGCAATTCAAAGCAAGAAATTGAAGTACTTGAAGAGTTAGAGAAGTTTTAATTTAAATTGGCTTGAAAAAAAATAATTTTCTTATTCCTGAAGAAATAGGGTTTAACGAAAGCCTGTAAAAGTAAGATTAAATTTTTATTTTTTAGGGAGAACTTAACCAAAAACCCGCCACCGCCCTACTTCTCCACCAGCCCCTTCTCACGCCCAAAGCCCCCCACCCCTCTAAACCTTCACTCCAGCACTTTTGCACTTCATGCCAAAAAATCAAAACAGCAAATCAGCCCTCCACGTACTACACCACCCATCACCATCACTCCAAGTCACCTCTCCATCTCTCTCGCACATCATCACCACTCCACCTTAAGCTTCCATCACCTTAATCCCACGCCACCAGCACCATCATCATCCTCACGCATCAACGGAGGAAGCAAGCAGCAACGCATCAACCTCAGACTCAACTTTTGGCTGACTTTCTCTCGGGTTTCTTTGTTTTATTTATTTTTGAGATGATGTGTAGCTAAATTATTTAATCTAGGATTTTGGATGTAGTCGCCGTACTATTTAATTTAATTTAATTCATGATTGTGACTTTTTCATTACTTGATATTTAATATTCTTGTTTTTTATTCCATGTGAGTATTTGATCACCACTTGCATGCTTTAAAGGTGTTTAACTAAAGCAACGACGGTTGAAGGTTAGCACTAGTTCGTGGAAATATTAAACTTAGATAGTGGGCCACGAAAGTAGGAACACCGTCTTTGCAACTATAGATTCTAGGGTTCTTAATGTACTCTACTTAAATCCTATAGTCACGACAGTAGTCATAGGGTTAGTTTGAGTAAGAGAATTATATCACGACAGTGAATAGTACTTAAATAGATGAATCATCGTGAGATTAATGAAAGTCCAAAGTCACATATCTATAGATTGAGTTAAACTGAGTAGTCGGTAGGTGAACCCTTTTTCCTAGATTTTCTTTTATTTGATTAATTATATTTAATTATTAGTTTTAGGTTTAGTTTAATTTAAAATCATTATTATTAGTTGTGTAAATAATAATAAGAAATAATTTTAACCTGGTACTTGGTATCCTTCTCTGTGGGATCGACCCTATTTTCCGCTATATTAGTGTTAACTAAGTAATTTTATTTGACTAGTGGTGACGACAGTTTGTCAAATTTGGCGCCGTTGCCGGGGAAGGCATCTAATATCGAATTCAGATTACTTTCTTTTATTAATTTAGATTTGTATATAGTTTCCTTTATTATATTAATTTATTATTTTTATTTTTTATTTTATTTTTATTCTCCTTTCTTTCTTGTGTCAATATTTTTGTAGGATTTTGGAGTTATCAGGGAGAATTATAACTATGGATATGGAGATGCTCCGTATTATAGTTATAATTCTGAATATGGAGACTATCCTACATATCAAGAAGATCCGTACTCTTCGAACAATTCGTCTTATGATCCTTACTATGGTTGTGATTATCAAGGGTATTCATTTGATGATGGGTACAATTCTTGTTTTGAGAGCGTGTATATGAGTCCTAAGATGTTGTCATGTTTGGAGAGAATTGATAAATTGTTGGATGACATCGAGAAGAAAAATGCTTCATATTTCTCTCAAGAGGATTGTTACCACTCAAATGCATCAGTATATCAACCACGACCTCCTCAACCCACTCTAAGAGAGTTAGCTGCTGGTCAGCCTACTCTGAGAGAGCTAGGGTTCTTAATGTACTCTAATTAAATGCTATAGCCATGACAGTAGTCATAGGGTTAGTTTGAGCAAGAGAATTATATTACGACAGTGAATAGTTCTTAAATAGGTGAATTATTGTGAGATTAATGAAAGTCCAAAGTCACATATCTATAGGTTGAGTTAAACTAAGTAGTCGGTAGGTGAACCCTTTTCCCTAGGTTTTCTTTTATTTGGTTAATTATATTTAATTATTAGTTTTAGGTTTAGTTTAATTTAAAATGATTATTATTAGTTGTCTAAATAATAATAAGAAATAATTTTAACCTGGTACTTGATATCCTTCTATGTGGGATCGATCCTATTTTTCGCTATATTAGTATTAAGTAGGTAATTTTATTTGACTAGTGGTGACGACGGCTTGTCAAAAGTCTTTTTAAAACTCTTGTACAAGTGGAGCCTTAATATGCAGTCATAACTAACCTCAAAAGATGAAGAATCATATATAGGATGCTTATAATACACTAGTCATCAATCGGAGTAGGACATTTCCCTTATCTTTGCAAGTTTTAACTCTTTTATTTCAAGTTTTATTTTGTTTTACACCAAGCACACAACATTATCTCCCTTATGCAGTTTATTTTTTGTTTAAATTTTTTGCATACAGAAGAGTATCCCCCATCAGTGACTAATAGCATCTAAAATGTATGTATTTCTTACAGGTCCCCGCCACGTTTCTAACAAAACAGCAATTCAGCATGCAAAAGTTTTTTCTCTTCATTTTACTCGAGATCAACATCGTGGGCCCACTACAGCTCAAATAGATATACAAGACGAAAACCAAAGGAAAAAGAAAAAGAAAAAAACTGATCATCTACATACTTCGCATGTATAACTGTTGCGTTTTATTTGCTGAAGTTTCCAAAATTAAACTGTGGTTTAGTTCCATCGGTCCAGATGTCCGTAATCCCTGTGTGGAAAAAAACAAAAAATAAGAATAAAAACTATCAACCAAATTAAAAAAGTTACTAACATAAAGTACATCCATAAGATCCAAAAAAAAAAAAACAGAATATTTACCTCGAAAGTCTTTTGTGTATGGCAATAGTTTAACTTTGGTCTTATTCAAAATTGCAAGAACTTCTTCTATGTTGCATCTTTCCATTGGATACACATTGGTGCAAGTCAGCGCAACATCCATGATTGTTGAAACATTGGCAATTATTTCTTGAACGTGGTGATTGGATGTCGAAACCAAATCGACATCGATAACATTAGCAAGTTTATCTGGCATGGCCTCTTTCACCCAACTTCTTAAGTTCAAATCTTCAGAAAACATTTCATCCACAGGGCTCTTTCGAGTAAAGACTTCCATCATCATGATCCCGAAACTATAAATATCACATCTTGTCGATACCAATCCTTCAGAAGCATACTCTACATTTTTCAAAATTAAAAAAATTATTTGTTAATCATAGTAAACTTTCCATCATCAATCTAAAACATTCAACATAAAAATAAGATCAGTGAAAAGAAGAACCTGGGGCTAAATAACAAAGTGTGGCTAGCGTGTTGGTGTATGTAATGCTATCCTCCATGCCCAATAACTTTGAAATGCCGAAGTCACTTACATGTGCAACCATTTCTTGGTCTAAGAGGACATTACTGGGTTTCAGATCACAATGCACAATCGTTGTCGAATTACCACAGTGAAGATATTGTAGAGCGTATGCCACATCAATCAGTATATTCAACCTCTCCATAAGATTAAGAAAATAGACACTTGAATGCAACCAGTTGTCAAGACTTCCATTGGGCATATACTCAAGAATTAGAGCCATAAAGTCTAGGTTCGAACAACTACTGACCACTTTTATTAGGTTTCGATGACATAGGTTGCGCAATATCTCACATTCTGTGTCGAAACTTTTAAATGATCGTTCCTGTTGCAAATTGAAAACTTTAATAGCCACAATTTCACCATTTTCAAGAGTACCTTTGTAAACAGATCCAAAACTTCCAACGCCCAACAAATTATTTTGACTATATCCGTCTGTTGCCTGTAGAAGTTGGTAATATGACATTCTTTTTCGTGTAATAAAATAAAAACCTTCAGGATCCTCCTTAATCTCTCTAGCTTTCTTCCTGTTCCTCAGGTGTATCAAACCCAAGCACATAATACCAGCAAGAGATATCGCAACCGCCATAATCATAACAACTTTATGCAATCTTTTGCTCATACCATGGTGTGTGTGGGGATATTTGCATAGTGGGACATCAAATCTTTGATCGCCACATAGTGCTGGATTCCCAATGAAAGATTTTGATGTGAAGTTGGTAAAAGGGCCTCCTGATGGAATTTTTCCACTCAAATTGTTAAATGATACGTTGAGAAAAGAAAGATGTTGAAGTTTTTCCAATGACACTGGAAATAAACCAGATAAAGAGTTATTTGAAAGATCCAACCTTTCCAAACTTAACATTTGACCAATTGTCTCAGGGATCTGCCCTTGCAATTGGTTATGCTTTAGAGAAAGATTCTGTAAGTTTTTCATATCTCCTATTGTGCTAGGAATAATTCCTGAAAAGTTGTTGTTTGAGAAGTCCATTCCAATTAATGACATTTTCAAATTACTGATTTCAGGAGGCAGAGGACCAGTTAACGAATTAGAAGAAAGGTCGAGTTGCAACAAATCTATGAGGTTCCATAAACTCAAAGGCATACTAGAAGTTAATCCGCTAGAACCAAGGTAAAGGTATCTCAAGGAGGTTATATTTCCTATGCAATCTGGAATTGTGCCGCCGTTCATAAGATTCTCTCCTAGATTTAAGTACCCCAGGGTCTTAGAAGCACAAAACAGTTGTAGAGAAATACTCATATTGTTCCCATTTAAATGTATACGTTGAATATTCTGCAAGTTTGCTACTGAATTTGGCACTGACCCAATCAAATGATTACCGGAAAGGCTTAAAGTACTCAAACTACTTAAATTCCCAATTCCACTTGGAATGGTTCCCCGGATTTCACAATCAGAAGCATCAAATGTTTCAAGTGTGTGAGAAAGGTTTCCAACTGAACTAGGCAAAACACCATCAAGTAAATTGCTGCTAATCATGACCTCTTCCAAATATTTGCAATTAACCAAAGAGGTGATGAAACTTAAAGACTGATGGGGAGGACCAATGAATAAGTCATTTTGCTGGAGATATAAACGTCTAAGTAAACTAAGGTCTCCCAATGAGTTGGGAATAGCACCAGTGAAATTGTTAGTTCGAAGATCAAGAAGCTGAACATTAGAGCAATTTGTGATCGAGCTTGGTAAAGGTCCACCAATACTATTCTCGGTGAGATAAAGGAGTTCTAAATTAGGAAGGGTGTAACCCATTGTCAAAGGAAGCTTGCCCGAAAGAAAATTATACCCAAAAGCAATCACTGTTAAGGATGAGATGTTGAAGATCCTCGCTGGAATAGAACCAGTTAACTTGCTCCACTCAAAGTTGATGTATTGCATATTGGATAACTTGCTCATCTCTTCTGGTATAACACCTAAAATAAAAATGATTTCTATGACACAAACCAGAATGCATATAGATTCCATAAAATGCTTTTGACGTCGATAGGTAATATTTAAAGTTTACATGTACTTTCTTCATTTAAAAAAAAAAAGTCTGCATTAAAATATAAGCTCTGTCGATAATACACAGTACAAATTACAATGTGGACTACTTTTCTGCGACAAAGAGAATACTTGTTGTCCGGTCAAGCAGAAACAATACTTATACAGCCAACTTTTATTACAGCTTAATTGAGAAAGTATAGCTTATGAATATAATATTTTCCATGAAACCTATCTTAAGAGAGGGTTAACATAGCTTTCGTGGAAAATATCGTATATATATTTCATATATATATATAGACATAATACATTCACAAAGATTACTTTTTAAGATGGAATAATTGTTCCAAGTTTTTTTACATTGTTGATTGAAGTCATTCAAGACTTGGGATGCCCGGTCACGGTCAGGTTCGTTGCTTCAATATTTGGATTTGTTGGTGCTGGTTAAATAGAAATGGAATAATTTTTTGATGGCCAGAGGTTTGTATCGTTATCTTTAAATTTCCCTGAGTAAATTAATGTGTATATTGCTGATTTGCGGTTGGTTTAATGGAAGCGTTTTTGTAAGGTGTTTACCGGCAGAAAGTTTTGAGCTATTGCCAGAACTTCTGAATTTGTTCCTAACGCACATTAGGGAAAGTAATTGAGCTAGAAATCATGAGGGCGGAGAAATAAGAAACTAAGGCGTTGGGTGTGTGTCTTTGGGTGACTTATGCCGGGTAATTCTATATGCCGGAGAAAATAAATCGGGACGTTCTAGATGCTGCGAGAAATTGTTTGGTGTCTCGGGTCATGGGGGAAAAAAACTTTGTATTGTTATGCATTTTTGTTAGTGTAAATCTTTGTTTGGGTACGGGTTTTTTTTTTTTTTTTTTTTTGGTTGGTGATCGGTTAATGTGGGCTGATAGCAAGGACTTTGACTAAATCATCGAGTTTATATTGCTTGGTGCATTGAAAAACTACTAAGGCATGCATAATTGTAAGCTTTAAATGTGTACGTAACAGTTCCAATAATTAGTGAATAATTTACTTTTGTATATCAAATACAACAGATTAGTAGGGTTTGTATTTTCATTTTTCTCTTTGGTAGGTGGAGATGTTAACTACATTAACTTGATTTATATAAGTGAAGAACGGGTACAAACTCCCAAAGGACCAGAGTTAAAGTGTCTTGAATTTTATGGAGCATAGTTTTTGAAATTGTTTTTGAGTGTACGTGCATGATTGAATCGGGTTTGGTGAGAAAAAATTCTTGCAAATGTTTCGAAGTTGATTAAATGAATGTTTGTGATTAGAAGTCTTGCTTTCATTTCATTGAATTCAAAACATGCGTTTTTGAGTGGCTGTCGTTTATTGTTTTGTTGATCAGCATATATGGTGCAAGGTTGATGGGATTTCATTGGGTAAATTACACGCCGGAACTAGGCCCCGGAGGTCTGGTGGGGGCAAAGTATAAGAAACTTTTTTCCTATGTTAATGTGTGCCCGATATGATTAATATAAACAAAGTTTACTACTCTAAAAAAACACCTTGACTGCAAAATGAAATTTATTTCCAACATTGGCGCCAAATTTACTCTATTTTTATTTCAAAAAAGCATACATAAATAACATTTATAATTCAAAAGCACTCCTTTGACTACTTAAGTGTGGAAAACATCGTAATATTGATTCATTATTAATACAGTTAAAGGTTCTTTTTTAGTCTTAAAATAACCCATAATTTTCACTTAGTGTCGCCATTAAATCACATTTATAATTCAAAAGCACTCCTTTGACTACTTAGGCATGCTGTTATGATCCTAGTAAAAAGTAAAAAAGTAAAAAGGGGAGACTTCGCCAATTCAGCTCATTGGAACATTTCCAAATGTGAATAATAAATATATATAATTTCATAAAGAAAATATTGAAAAACAAAAGAAAGACGATTCTCGAGGGGGACTTTTTTTGAAAAACAAAAAACCTTGAGGGAAATTTAATTTTAGATGAATGACCTAATATTTTTTTCAGAGTTGTTATCATGGTGGAAATGAGAAAATGTTAAAAGGTAAAAGGTGTGAATTCTAGAATTTATAATTTAGATGGATTTATTCGCATGTGACCTAAGTCCTAACTTGAAAATCATGAAGTGAAAAGGGCAATCTTTATTCTTACAAGTTTGTCCCCAATCTTTTTTTATTTTTTCCTGGGGTAAAGATGAAACATTTTATAAATTTCTCAGTATTTTATGGGTATTTCACAAAAATTCAGATGGGGCAATTGCCCCAGCTAAGCTGAATGAGGTTCCGCCATGCACTTGACAACCTTATTTTAATAGTAGGAGAAAAGTGGTCTAACAATAGGCAGTTTATCACCATTTTGACACATGCCCGTTATGGTTTAAACAAATGGTGGGCTAAGATAATATTTAAATAGACGCATATCAAAATATTGAGACAATTTGGATCAGGGGTAGCGGAGAGTAAATAATTAATAAATAAGGCAGTACTCTTGAATAATTTATTTTAGGGGCACAATGATTCAACAACCCAAACATGACTCTAACTCTTAAAATTAAATTTTCTTCTTTTTTTCGTTTGATTTTTCAACACATAAATTAAATCGTTCATGCTGATAATATTTTAGTACTATCAATATGAAAAAAGTAACATGTTAAATGATGGAAAAAAAATATAATTATGTTGACATTGATAAATAAAGGTTAACAATTCACCATTTTTGGTAGGAGATTTTTTTTTTCATATAATGTTAAGTTTTTTTCAGGTAAATTTTTTTTTCGCTTTGACATTAGACGAATTTTTCTTTCCCAAAAAAGTTATACTTACATGAGCCCTACAACATATTTTACTAGAGTTACTTAAATTACTCAATATTTCGTATTAGTGAAAACTTTAAAATTTAAGAATATTACAAATTTTTATCTTTATTTTTTTTTTTTTGTCATTGACCACTTTAGTATTTTTTATATTAATCAGGCTTAGAGAAAAAAAAATAGGTTTCTTATTAATAATTAAAGGCCTGAAGACATGTTTGTATGGTTGAATGGTTATGTCCCTAATATAAATTATTCAAAAGTATAGCCCTCTTTATTAATTATTAGTCTCTACTGCCCCTTATCTAAATTTTAAAATATTTAGGAATAATATAAATTTATGGAGTACGAGACCATTAACCGTTAATTTAGATATTGTTGTATAAAATAATAAAAGTTATACGGGTATCGAAGATAAGTATAAACTTTGTTTAAAATTATAATAATATATGGTTATTGAAAAAGATAATTATACATGAACATGATGATTATACTTCTTTTTCCTAAGATTGACATACCTGTAAAGCTATTAGCTTCGAAGTCCATTACCTGTAGCATCGACAAATTTCCAATTTCCTTTGGAATTGCACCTAAGAAATTCGACATGTTATCATAAAATTAGGATCACTATCCGCTTACATAATTTTTATCCACACAATTTTTTAAAAAACTATAAAAATTCAAGATTATAAAAGTGAAAAAATCAACACTTTTATGAAGAGGAAGATGTTACCTTGCAGTAGGTTATTCTGCATCTGTAGCACCTGAAGACTCTTCAAGTTTCCAATTTCTTTTGGTAACTTTCCATTAAGTGAGTTGAAACCAAGGTACAGCGATTCCAGTTGAGAACATTGGCCTATGCTTGGTGGTATTTGGCCATGTAAACCCGCACGTTCTAAATCAAGAAATTGGAGCTTCTGAAGGTGCCGGCACATATCAACCGGAAGCGAACCGGCTGAAAAGCCATTATCGCCCAAATCCATTCTTTGTAGAGAGGAAATGTTGAAGATCTCAGCCGGAATGTTTCCTTGCAGATAATTGTAGGAAAGACTTAACCTCGTTAATTTGGACATGCTAGAGATGGATGATGGAATAACACCAGTGAAGCTGTTGTTCCAGATGGACAAGTATTCAAGCTCTTGAAATGATCCAATCCAGGGTGGGAATTGTCCGTTGAAATTGTTGAAGCTCAAATCAAGCTTTTTGAGTCGGCGAAACCGGGAAAGCTCATCCGGTAGTTCTCCGTGGAAACTGTTTCTCCTTAAGTTGAGAGAAACTAGAAATGAGAGATTCCCGAGGTTGGGAGGTATGGTGCCGGTGAGATTCATATTGGAGATATTTAAGGCGGTGACTCTAAGATGTCGAGGCCCACAAGTGACGCCAATCCAATCACAAACGGAAGAACCAATCGTCCAGTTTTTGGCTAATATATGATGAGAAGGTAATTCGGTGATGCGGGATTTCAATGCAAGAAGAGCAAGCTGATCGGAAGTAATGTTGGTGATTCTTGTTTTGGCTAAGCAAACGTTAAGAAAACATGGTAACAACAGTAAAAGAAACAGTATTGTTAGATGGATATGCTTAGGAACCATTTTGTTGAGCATGAAGTGTGTTTTGCGCGATGCAAATTTTACAGGAGAAATGCAACCTAAGTTCTCACTTCTATCAAACTATGGTATATATAGAAAAAAGATAGAGAGCAGAAATCTGAATGAAGATGTTCCCCATGGGCCATCATGCATGTAACCTATAATTATTTGAAACTGAACCTGACACCCGCAATAATTTGAGAGTATAAAGTTAATGGAAAACAAGGGTTAGAGGTAAATTTTTCTAAGTTCGTTCTTTATTTTAAATGCCATATGATCATTCAAAGTAAACGTTCACTTTTAATTTTCTTCTTTCTGATATAAGTTATCTGTTAACGAAAGCAATTTCATTGAGAAAATATGTATAACTTTTGACACTAGTTAGTTACACGAAAATATATAACATTTCTATTGCCACCAAAATCAATATCACTCAACTTGACTCTAGTCATTTTTATCACGTTCCGTAACCTAATAAAGTCATAAATCCTCTAATTAATTATCCAAAAACAATGAGCTACATAATTTATTGTCCCCAGTCCAGGAGCAGTTCGTCGTGGCCAAAAAATTTTCCTCATATGCAAGTTTGGTCACTTCGGCATTACATTTAATTTTCCAGTTTTCTACAATGATTATCTTTAAACTACTCATCCATTAGTTTCCCGTGATCGTTGCCTAAAAGTATTCTTCTTCTTTCTTCTTTGAATTTCTTTTGCTTGTTCGCCGGTTGTAAATAATAAATCACCAGCTAAACTCAAGAAACTATAGCCACTTGCTTGATGTCGATTTGTTATACATAGCAATTAACATCAGTAAAAAATAAAATAAAATAAATTAGGGTAATGATATTTCCAGGACTATTATTAGTATCCAGAATAATAAATCGCTATTCTACAATAATTACCCATAGTTAGTCAATATATCATATTTTGCTTCTAGTTGGCTCAGCTTTCATTTATCTTTTCCCAATTAAAATCAACTCGAGCTGATCACCATCATCTCTCTCAGTTCATTCCGAATTGTTGCCTTTCCAACTGCAAGCCGTTTTATGCCCATCCGCCAGTGCCTCCAAATCTATCGGAGAATCTACGTAGATGAATGAAGATTATGATGATGACCACTATATTTGAAGGCTGCTTATTACCGCCACTTCCAGAACAAAAGACTCAAATTGTCTCAGACAGTTACTCTGTTGTTAAATCATCTGTTGTGCAATTTTTGAAAAATAATGATTTATTGCTCTTGAAGTTAATGATCGCTCTGGCAATATCGCCCCCCTTCAAAATAATTAAGCTACTGTTACCCCATCAAAAATCACATTGATGTTGTCTTGATAGACATTGCCCGAAATGAGTCCGACTGGGCGTTTCAGCTCATAAGAAAAAGTAGTTGGTAAATTTTGGAGGCGAACTCATACTGTGGATCGTAGCAAATTCAAAGTCAATAAAAGCGAGTAGGTCATTTTTTTGGAGGAAAATTTTTTCTTATAAATGTTTTAATTACTGCTACATGCGTGCTAACGAAATTATTTATATTTAAGGCATCTTTACTACTTCAATCGAGTGTATGCTGGTAAATCTTAATTATTATTTTTTAAAACAGCGTGCAAATCACAAAGTTTATTTATTTAGTTGAGAATTTAAGATATTTGGTAGAGTTTAACACCATTGCCTTTAGCTAATTGATTACCTTTCTATAAATCATGTCTTAAAGTTTCTATAAGCTATCAAGCACCTCATCCATTTGATTTGTGTCTTTTGGAATGAGTAAAACCAAATACTACCCATCAATTGTTAAACTCAAGAAAGTACCTGCTCCCCTGACTTCATCATGTCTTTTCGATTTTCTGATTGGCATTTACTGATTATTTTCCGAATGGATGTTGAATTGTCCACCATTTTCTAGATCTCTGCCTCTGGACTTAACATTACTCTCATAAAAAGTTTTTTTATTAAAAAAAAAAAAAGGAAGAGCAAAATTTTGAAATTCCAGTGCAAGTAGGCAAATTTTCATTGTGTAAATTAGAGTGTTTCAGTCACAATTAGCTTGATTGGCTTACTATAAAATTAGAAAGGGTTTAATCAGTTCGACGAGGAATAATGTGGGGTCAACAGCAGCACAAAGTCTCCAGATTGGAAAGACTTTTCAATCTCTGTTTGACAACAATTTTCTACCGAAAGTATTTGGGATAGGGATGGTTATGTTGACAAAGTCTCTAGTATTTGGGATGGAGAGGTGCAAAAATTATACACTTTCGTCTTTAAATTTCCTAATTATAATGTATGTTTTAACTTACCATTTGGGTTAACCTTTCAGGCTTTCGTCATTTGGAGTTTCTGGAAAATTATCGAATAAAAATTAGAGTAAAGGAGCAACTATTTATTTTACAATCCAAAAAATAGAAGGAAAAAAAGACTTTGTACAGCAGAAATTTCTTTTTTCTAAATTTTTCATTTTTTTTCTTGGAAGATGAGTCTTAAGCACTAACTTATCTGCATTCTTTTTTAAAATTTAATTGGGCACCGGGAATGCCTACAAATACTGTTCTTGATTTCGTTTCGAAAATTGTGGATCAGGAGCAACGGTGAAAACATAACACAAATCACGTCAGTTACATCAATGACTCTTGCTTGACTAAAAAGTCCAGCTTATCATCAATAGAAAAGGGTTATGTGTACCACAAAGGTCTTTTCGAAAGCAAGAAAGATTAGACGACCACACAGACCTATGTATATATATGTACCCGTGAAGTATCGGTTACTTCATGCTCACTTTGTTTCGAAATTATTGTCCGATTTTAATTTTTATTGTTAATTTAAATTATATTAGAGATGAAAATTCAAACTGTACAATAATTTTAAAACAGAGAAGGTAGTTGAATTTGATAACCTTGCAATTGGGGCATCGATACTAAACTATTAGTCTTGTATCTTTTGTGCGATTAATGTTGAAACTAATACATCAACATTGCGTTGTCGTGAGAAGTGATACGAAAATTTGTCTTCCATTAAGAGGTCATGTTTTTTCGATGTTAATGCCTGGATATATAATTATCTGGCGACATGTTTCTGCAAATTAGAGTTCATTTTGGTGGATAGGAAATTAGGTCCAAGCTCGATCATAAAAAAAGAATATCGCGCTCAAACTATTGGCGAAATTTTTATCCTAAACTACTAGATTATTTTCTTGGGATAAAAATTTTGGTGAAATTTGACTATTCTTGTTATGACGGATTGAGAATTGTACAAGACCAAACACCAAAATATCTTGTTCACATCAAATCTAGTGCTTCTTGGTTTTCACCAGCATACAATTTTTCTACTACTAGAAAATTAATTACCTAAAGAAAATGTTGCCGAAGATGCATAAGGAAAGAAATGCATCACGCGATTAGAAAGGAGGAAAAGGAACAATTAAAAGGAGCAAAAGGGCATATATCACGCGATTATTTAAGACAAATGCTTCAAAAAATAATACTCCCTCCATCCTATAATTATTATCCAGTTTGAGTTTTTATTTTTAGTTGAAATTGTACTAAAAGTAAAATCTGAAAGTAGATAATAATTTTGGGATAGATGAAGTACTAATCTATAAGGGAAGACGGGTGGGAAGAGTTTGTGAGGAAAATAGTTTTCTGCTGAAGAAACGCAGTTTATTTATTCAGCACATGATAAATTACATTACTTTTGGGGTGACAGTACAGTAGTTTTATTGAAAAAGTACTTCATATATAAGCGAAAAATTAGATATCAGACGAAACATGTGCCATTAATTGCACTCAACATAACCTCAGTTTATCCGATCAATAATAAGTTTGCTTAGATGGCAGAAAAAGCAAAATAAATCATTAAGCTGCTAAGGTTCTGTTTGTTTCGTTTTTTAATTGGTTTTTTTATATTATTTTATTATTAATTATCCCATTCGAATATACCTTTTTACATTTTCAGTTTATCCGATCAATAATAAGTTTGCTTAGATGGCAGAAAAAGCAAAATAAATCATTAAGCTGCTAAGGTTCTGTTTGTTTCGTTTTTTAATTGGTTTTTTTATATTATTTTATTATTAATTATCCCATTCGAATATACCTTTTTACATTTTCAATACAAAAGATACTTAAAAATACATACTAAAAAAACGAAACAAACAGACCCTAAGCATACATTATGTTACACAGTAGATATCTTTAAATTAAGCTTGACTCTCTTTCTCTTTCTGCTGGACATTTTCAGAAAACATGCGGCTGCTCAATCTGCACTTAAGTCATCTACGTACCTATTTCCGATTCCTGTGAGTTAAAATATTTTTTTTAAAAAAAAGAGATTCAAAAAAAAAAAAATCAAGCCAAGATACTAACACAAAGGCCCATATCAATACATCAAAAAACATTCACCTGGCGCATGTATGGCAGAAGTTGAAGTCTGATTTTATTCAAACATGTAAGAACATCACCTATATTTCTTCTCTCTCTGGGAGACACAACTGTGCAAGTCAAAGCTACATCATGATTTCTGAAATGCCAGCAAGAATTTCAGTGAAGTGCTGATCTAATGTTGATAGCAAATTTGCATCGATAACATTAGCTATTCTATCTGCCAAAGATTTTTGCACCCAACTCTTTAAGTCCAAAATTTTCACCAAACATTCCATCGTCAGGACTCTTTCCAGTGAAAATTACTTCCATCGTCATGATTCCAAAACTGTAAATATCACATCTTGTTGACACTAAACCTTCAGAAGCATTCTCTTTGAGCATAAAAAAAAAAAAGAAGTTAACCTTTATAAGTTTTTCATAGTAAGTGTGTCGAAAATTCAACTTGAAAAACTAAAAACAAGTATAAAGTAACCTCACCTGGTGCAACATAACAAAGCGTGGCTAGCGTTTTGGTCAATGTAATGCTATCTTCTTCACCTACCAATTTCGCAATGCCAAAATCACTTACATGGGCAAACATTTCCTGATCTAGCAGTACATTACTAGGTTTCAGATCACAGTGGGCAAAAGGTGTCGAATTACCACAATGAGGATATTGTAGAGCACATGCGACATCTATAATTATGTTTAATCTTCGCATAAGAATGAGAAAATGATTATTTGAATGCAACCAGCTATCAAGATTTCCATTTGGCATAAACTCGAAAACCAACGCCTTAAACTCTGGATTAGAACAAGTACTAATGACTTTTACCAGGTTTCGGTGACGAATATTGCCTAATACCTCGCATTCTATGTCAGAACTCTGGAATGATGCTTCTAGCTCCAAGTTGAACACCTTAAGAGCCACAACCAGACCAGTTTGAAGAGTGCCTTTGTAAACAAATCCAAACTTCCACTACCTAATAAATTACTTTGACTATATCCACGTGTTCCTCGTAGAAATTCGTAATATGATATTCCTTTGTTGTGTAATGAA